ACGCAACTCTTGCGCTTCTAAACTGCTCTGCAGCTCTTCAATTCTCATTGTGCTCAGATCTTTGGAATGTTCTATTGCTACCACAATGTAATCAAATTGAGGAGTAAGGGATCTCAATACTTTCCCCATGATTGTTTCTTCAGAAAGAGTTTCTCCACATGCCTTCATCTCATTAGTGATCAGAATCACTCTGGAGATGTATTCAGAAACTTTCTCATTATTCTTCATGTTGAGATTCTCATATTGCTTTCTCAAGGACTGAAGCTTCACCTTCTTCACTGATGCGTCACCACCATAACATCTCACCAGAGTGTCCCATGCAGCCTTTGCTGTTGTAGAGTCTGCAATCTTCTCAAACACGTTTACATCCACACATTGATGAATGAAGAACAATGCTTTCTGATCCTTCTTCCTTACTTCCTTCTGCGCGTTTTTCTGTTCATCGGTTGCATCTGCTGCTACTGGAACATAACCATCAGTGACAAGATCTAGAACATCTTGAGCACCAAATAGTACACGCATTTGGATCATCCAACGATTCCAGTTTTTACCATCAAATACTGGAAGTTTGGTGTTCTTGTTGTCGTTTCCGTTCATCTTCTACTTTGCACAATACACTCAGATTTCTCACACAGTGTTTCCCAACCCACAGAATAAAATTCTGATCAGATTTTGTTCAAGATTCAACACGAATCTAAGAATCAAAATCAAACACACAAGACCTCACGTTCACTCGTGTTTCCCGTGTTTCCCAATGAATCTGAACCGGAGCTCTAGATACCAATTGTTGGTGCAAAGATAGAATAATGAAAATAGGAAATATTCTATTAAGAGAATGACGGCTGAAGAAACAGGATTAAGAGTTACAATGATTGTCACCCTATTTATAGGCTAAAACTAGGGTTACTAGAATAAGATAAAATACTAAAATACCCTCTAACAGACTTATGGGCTTAAGAAAATAATATAATAAAATATGAATTATTACTAATATGTTCAAGAAAATATATTTTTTCTCTATAAAATTGAAAGGATAAGAATGAAAATTCACAGATTGATTGTTGTTTGTGGTTTTTGGAACTTAAAGAATTGTAACTAATTATCATCTTAAATATAATATCAGCGCAACTTGAACGAGTTTATGAACGAGTGGAAGTTATGGATGTATTAACTGCAGAAAATCGTGTTGCTGAAATTTTATTTGATTTTGGTTTCAACAAGTACATCAGGCAAGGGAGGTTGTTGAATTCTTGGTAATTTGCTTCATTAACCAAAATTTTTTTGTTGAATTCTTGGTAATTTGCTTCATTAACCAAAATTTTTACACTTCCACAATAGCGAAGATATACACTTCTGTGTTGGGTGAAACTGGAGTTTTGTTATTTGTAATGAATTGCAATAATATTTTAATATATTTAAAGAAGCTGAAGAAAGGATGTCAGCTGAAGAAATTAAAAAATTGCAACAATGCTTCTAGAAATTCAAATGAGATTACAATAACAAATTACAAAGAAAGAATGTTAGCTAAAGACATTAAAAAATTGATTAAAGAAGCTGAAAATTTCCATATTGAAGACAAGAAATTCCTCAGGAAGACCAAAGTAGTGAATGCATTGGACGAATACATTTACAAAATGATGAATACTTTAAAGAAAAAGGATGTTAATTCGAAGTTGTCCTCACAAGAAATCAAGCAGATTGAAGATGCAATTGCAGTGAATATTATGACTACCTCAATAGGTGTTTTTGTCTGCCCAGTAACAGACCTATCTGTACACGCAAGTAGAATGTTAGTACTCTACTTCATACTACTAAGATCTTTTAGTTTTACACGTTATTACTCAAAAGTTGTTGGGTGGGTATGTTTTTTTAAGTAATATATCATTTTTCAATGCATTTGATATATTTGAAAAAATCACAAATTTATAAATAGTGTCAAAATAAAACTAATATTTATATATGAGAAAAGTATATTATTGATTAAAATATTTATATATATATATATATATATATATATATATATATATATATATATATATATATATATATATATATATATATATATATATATATATATATATATATATATATATATATATATATATATATATATATATATATATATATATATATGAAAGAAAATACTATTGTTATAAACGGAAACAACTATACTATTGATTCTAATAGTTTTATTAATATTGTCAAAACAAAAATAATATTTTGATTCAAACATTTTTATATACGGGAACAACTTTACTATTGATTCAAATATTTTTATAAATAATGTCCAAAAACATTCATATTTATACACGAAAAAATATACATTGTTGATTAAAATATTTTTCTATAAGGAAAAAATACTATTGTTATAAACGGGGACAACTTTACTATTGATCCAAATCTTTTTATAAATATTATAAAAAAAATAATATTTTGATTCAAATATTTTTATAAATGGGAACAACTTTACTATTGATTCAAATATATTTATAAATAATGTCAAAACAAAAATAATACTTATATACGTGAAAAAATATATTGTCGAATTATATATATATATATATATATATATATATATATATATATATATATATATATATATATATATATATATATATATATATATATATATATATATATATATATATATATATATATATATATATATATATATATATATATATATATATATATATATATATATATATATATATATATATACACACACACACGGAAACAAATATTATTGTTATAAACAAGATCAACTTTACTATTGATCTAAATATTTAATAATAAAAATTTATCGACCATTGTATTCTCTCTTATAACATAATTGTCTTATTTGTTAAAAAAAATTTAAATGATTAATTTATCTAATACAAATTTCAATAGTTTTTTTAATCATACTATTAATGATATTGTTGTTTACTTTTCATCTTCTACATGTATTACTATTACTATTTCAACTTAAATTTACTATTATTCTTAAGTTTTTTCTATTTTCAACTTTCAATTTTTCTTAATGAAGTGTCTATCAACTTCAATATATTTGGTTCTGTCATGTCGCACTAGGTTATAAGTTATGTTATGCTAGTTTTATCATTCTCTGCTAAATGGTCATGGGACAGATGCATTTATCCTGGTTGGTGCGAATGATGTTGGGACAGTGAATAGGTTTTATGATTTAATTACTAAGCCTGAAAGTGAAGATATGGATCATGGTTGGAAGAAGATTTGAAAACTTAGGGTGTCGGAGAGAGTTAGGACATTTATCTGGTTGTTAAAGCATGATAGACTTCTGAAAAATTATAATTAAGAGTAAGAAAGGCCTAGGATCGGCGGCTTGTCAGCTGTGTGGTTATGCTATAGAGACTATGCTTCATGTGTTCAGAGTTTGCCGTTATGCGTGGAAAGTGTTGGAAAATAAAGCCCCTCTGAGTATAAAAAGTGATTTCCAAAATATGGAGTTGAGCGAATGTGTAAGTTTGAATATCAACTATGCTTGTGCGGATGTGGGAAGTTAGTGTTCTTATTAGGCAATCGCTTGCCATTCGCTATGGTATTGGAGGAATTAATATGAGTATAATGAGGAATTTGTGCGTCTTGGAAATGCTAGCATGATCATAGACAGGAAGGTGAAGGAGTATGGTCAGGCTATGTTGATGGATAAGCGAGTTGTTGGTCGGAATAAAGAGGTGACACTTGTTAGATAGATTCCACCTAGTCCAGGTGTGGTGAAAATTAATGTAGATGGAGCGTACATTGATGGTGTTAATTTAGGGTGTGGAGGTTTAGCTAGAGATGACCCTGGTGGTTGGTTGGGAGAATTTGCTAAGAAATTGGACGTTGGTAGTAGCTACATGGCGGAACTAGAAGGAGTCCATGAAGGTTTGATATTAGCTCTAGACCTTGAAGCCAAAAGAGCGGAAGTGAATACAAATTCGTCTGAGGTGGTGAAGGATATAATTTAGGAAAAGACAAGGAGAAGTGAGGGAGTTGAAATGCTGAGGAAGATTGAGAGTCTTTTAAGCAGGTTTGAATATACCCTTGTATCTCATGTGTTCAGAGAAGCTAACAAGTGTGCTGATGTTATGGCTAAGGCTGAGTGTAGGTTAGATACCCAGCTGAAAATTTTTTTGTGTGCTCCTAATTTTGTTGAAGACCTTCTTTTTGCGGATTTAGGAGAGAAATCCTCCTTGAGAGAAATCCTTGTGCAGTAGTTTTTCTTTTTTGTGCCTCTGACCCTCTCTTTTATAAAAAAAAATCAAATTCAGCTAATAATTGTCTAGAGATATCCCATGCTGCAATCACGTGTTCACTTAAAACAATTGAATTTCATTAAAAAAAGTATAAAAATTAATTAGTTAATTAGAGTTTATTATAAGGTGATTATTTGGTCGATAGTTTATCAATTCTATATAACTTCTCAAGCAACCACTGATAAGAAAATATATATTTTGTCTATAAAATTAAAAGGATAAGAATGGGAATTCACGGATTGGTTGTTGTGGTTGTTGGAATTGAAAGAATTGGAACTAATTATTATATTAAATAGTATAATATCAGTGCATGGCTTTTTAACTAAGTTTACATCAAAATCATATACACACACAAAGAGCAGAGAAGTGAACAAACCAACCACGACTCCAAAAATTTCAGCATCAGTAGCAACGACGCGACTCAATCGCAGCATTCTCCAATTGCGTAATTCTTCTCTTCATACGATACCTTGTTGCTTCTTCTTCCGATTCATTTTCATTTCTGCGGAATTAATTCCAATTTCCATTTTCATTTCTTCCGATTCATTTGTAGTTCATGCTATGTGTTAATTAGGGAAAATGAATATTTGACTCTTGTTAGATGGATCTATAATCTGCGCAGTTTTGATTTTCTATCTAGTTTTTAGTTTATTGTGAAAGATATGCAGCTAGGTTAATTTTACTGCACTTTATAATACTATGCATTATAATTGCAGGGTCTTGTAACTGTGTTCTAATAGGATGGGGAGTGTTGCTGAAGGGAAGTTAAGGTTTTGTATTGATAGAGGCGGTACGTTTACTGATGTTTATGCAGAAATCCCGGGTCATCGTAATGGGCAAGTTTTGAAGCTTTTGTCTGTTGATCCTTTGAACTATGATGATGCACCGGTTGAAGGGATACGTAGGATTCTTGAAGAGTTCAGTGGCGAGAAAATTCCGCGCAGCTCAAAGATTCCTACAGAGAAGATTGAGTGGATAAGGATGGGGACAACTGTGGCAACGAATGCGCTTTTAGAACGTAAGGGAGAAAGGATTGCTGTGTGTGTGACTCGAGGCTTTCGTGATTTGCTTCAGATCGGTAATCAGGCTCGTCCCAGCATATTTGACCTTACTGTGTCGAAGCCTTCGAATCTCTATGAAGAGGTTGTGGAGGTGGATGAGAGAGTTGAACTTGTTCAGGAAAGTGAAGAAGAAAACAAGAGTGCTTATTTACCTGTTGTTAAAGGTGTTTCTGGAGAGCTTATCAAGATTGTAAAGCCTCTTGATGAAGAAGTGTTGAAGCCTGTACTGAAAAGTTTGCTGGAGAAAGGAATTAGTTGTCTGGCTGTTGTTTTGATGCACTCGTACACTTTCCCGCAGCATGAACAACAGGTTGAGAGGTTAGCATTGGGTCTGGGTTTCAGACATGTTTCTATATCGTCTGCTTTGTCTCCCATGGTTCGTGCTGTTCCTCGTGGTCTAACAGCTAGTGTAGATGCTTATCTGACCCCAGTTATAAAAGAATACCTGTCAGGATTCATCTCCAAATTTGACGAGGGACTTGGCAAGTTGAATGTTTTGTTTATGCAATCTGATGGAGGACTTGCGCCTGAGAGTTCTTTCTCGGGGCACAAAGCAATTCTGTCTGGCCCTGCTGGGGGAGTTGTTGGTTACTCGCAAACTCTTTTTGGTCTTGAAACAGAAAAGCCATTGATTGGTTTTGATATGGGAGGTACATCCACAGATGTGAGTCGGTATGCTGGAAGTTATGAGCAAGTGCTGGAAACACAAATTGCTGGTGCCATAATTCAAGCACCTCAGCTTGACATAAACACTGTGGCTGCTGGAGGTGGTTCAAAGTTGAAGTTCCAATTTGGCGCTTTTCAAGCTGGACCAGAATCAGTTGGAGCACACCCGGGTCCTGTATGTTATCGCAAAGGTGGAGAGTTGGCAATTACAGATGCCAACCTAGTTCTAGGTTATGTCATTCCTGATTATTTCCCATCTATATTTGGGCCAAATGAGGACCAGCCTCTTGATGTCAAGTCAACAAGGGAAGAATTTGAGAAGCTTGCTAGGAATATAAATGCTTATCGAAAGAATCAGGATCCGTCTACAAAAGACATGACGGTGGAAGAGATTGCACTTGGCTTTGTGGATGTTGCTAATGAGACAATGTGCCGTCCAATAAGGCAGTTGACTGAAATGAAGGGTCATGAGACAAAGAATCACGCACTTGCTTGCTTTGGAGGGGCTGGACCCCAGCATGCTTGTGCTATAGCTAGGTCTCTTGGCATGAAAGAAGTGCTTATTCATAAATTTTGTGGGATCTTAAGCGCATATGGAATGGGATTGGCAAATGTCGTAGAAGAGGCGCAGGAGCCTTATGCTGCAGTTTATGGAACTGAATCTACTGCTGAGGCTTCACAACGAGAAGCTGTGCTACTGAGACAAATTAAGCAGAAGTTGCAAAGTCAAGGATTTAAAGAGGAGAGTATTTCGACCGAGACATATTTAAACTTGAGATATGAAGGCACAGACACTGCCATCATGGTCAAAAGGCAGATAGCTGAAGATGGAATACCAATTGACTATGCTACTGAATTTGTGAGACTGTTTCAGCAGGAATACGGCTTTAAACTCGAAAACAGAAATATTGTGATCTGTGATGTCAGAGTTCGTGGTATAGGAGTTACCAATATATTGAGGCCACAGGCGATAGAGCCTGCCTCTGGTAGTCCTATAGTTGAAGGCTACTATAAGGTTTACTTTGGAAATGGTTGGCAGGAAACACCTCTCTATAAGCTTGAAAAGTTGGGGTATGGCCATAAGATGTCTGGCCCAGCAATCGTTATGAATGGTAATAGCACTGTGATTGTAGAACCAAACTGTAGAGCCATTATAACCAAATATGGGAACATCAAAATTGAAATTGATTCACCTTTGAGCAGCATTAAAATATCAGATAAAGTTGCAGATGTTGTACAGCTCTCTATTTTTAATCACAGATTTATGGGTATAGCAGAGCAAATGGGAAGGACTTTGCAAAGAACCTCAATTTCAACAAATATCAAAGAACGCCTTGATTTTTCTTGTGCTCTATTTGATCCGAATGGGGGCCTAGTTGCAAATGCACCTCATGTTCCTGTCCATCTAGGAGCAATGTCTAGTACAGTTCGGTGGCAACTCAATTACTGGAGTGACAATTTGAATGAAGGGGATGTTTTGGTTACTAATCATCCTTCAGCTGGAGGTAGCCATCTTCCTGATATAACTGTTGTCACACCTGTTTTTTTCAATGGGAGGTTAGTATTTTTTGTTGCAAATAGAGGGCATCATGCAGAGATTGGGGGTATTACTCCTGGAAGCATGCCTCCATTTTCAAAGTCCATATTGGAGGAAGGAGCTGCCATTAAGGCATTTAAGCTTGTTGAAAAAGGCGTCTTTCAAGAACAGGGAATTATTAAACTTTTACAGTTCCCAGGCTCCGATAACACTGGAACTAAGATCCGAGGAACTCGCAGGATTCAAGATAACCTATCTGATTTGCATGCACAAGTGGCAGCAAATCAAAGAGGAATTTATCTAGTCCTTGAGCTTATTGAACAGTATGGACTCGAAACTGTTCAAGCTTATATGAATTATGTACAGATGAATGCAGAAGGAGCAGTAAGAGAGATGCTGAAGTCAGTTGGTCGTAGAATTTCATCAGAGTCAAATGAAAACTCTGTGACAATTGAAGAAGAGGATTACATGGATGATGGATCTGTTATTCATTTGAAACTGAGTATTGACTCTAACAAAGGAGAAGCAGTTTTTGATTTTGGTGGGACAAGTGCTGAAGTTTATGGTAATTGGAACGCACCAGAAGCTGTCACAGCTGCAGCAGTCATATATTGCATTCGCTGTTTAGTGGATGTTGATATCCCTCTCAATCAAGGTTGTCTGGCTCCAGTGAAGATTCTTATTCCAGAAGGCTCATTTCTCTCTCCTAGTGATAGTGCAGCTGTGGTAGGAGGTAATGTCCTTACATCTCAGAGAATCACTGATGTTGTATTTACTGCATTTCAGGCCTGTGCTTGCTCACAGGGTTGTATGAATAATCTCACATTTGGAGATGATACTTTTGGGTACTATGAAACCATTGGAGGTGGGAGTGGGGCTGGACCTTCATGGGAAGGAACCAGTGGAGTACAGTGCCATATGACAAATACAAGAATGACTGATCCAGAGATATTTGAGCAAAGATATCCAGTGATTCTGCACAAGTTTGGACTTAGAGCAAACAGTGGGGGAGATGGACTTAACAGAGGTGGTGATGGGCTTCTCCGGGAAATAGAGTTTAGGCGCCCAGTTACAGTTAGTATTCTTTCTGAGAGACGTGTCCATGCACCAAGAGGGCTGAGGGGAGGAAAAGACGGTGCACGTGGTGCTAACTACATTCTGAAAAAAGATAACCGAAAGGTATATCTTGGTGGTAAAAATTCTGTTGAGGTGCTTCCTGGAGAAATTCTTCAGATTTTGACTCCTGGGGGTGGTGGATGGGGTTCTCTAGTGTAAGGTTTCTTTCTTTTGGATGAGAAACGTCAATATACTTTACTCATGTGGTGTCAAAAGTGTGTTGTGAGGAAATGCACTACACACTCTGAGACAAATCAATAATATTCAAATAATGAAATTTCTGTCTGAATTTCTCAGTTCAATTATTTTCAGAAATCTCCACCGTAATTTAAGCATGACAAGGTCACAAGGGCAATAAGTATTGTCCTTCAAGGCAATGTTTTTACATAGTGATAATATTATGTTAGCATTCCAATACTTGCATTTCTCGATTATCACATGAGTATCTATTGATTGATCAGAACTTTTCAAGGTTTCCATGTCTCATATTCAGAGTTAAAGGTGTAGGTAAAACTAATCACCCATATATGAGAAAATTTACTGTTGAATCGCAGACTACTAAGCTTTATTCAGATCTCAAATCTTGATTAAATTAGACACTTTTCTCAAGTGTGTATAATGGCAGAAAAAAGAGCAGCAAAGAACTAGAGGAAACACAATCAATAAATTTGTATGACAATACCATCATTGATATTGTCAGAATTGTGAAAACATGTACAAATTGGTTGCATCAATGGCAAACTCAGTTCTAACTAGACAGTCTTAAAAACTAGAAACAGATCAAACCAGATAACAGAGAAGCCAAGTGTGTAAATGCTACAAAGCATATCACAACAACACATAATTAGCTAGCACTAATTAATTCAGTCCCACCATTGGTGTACTGCAACTCCCTCATCCTCAGCCTTCCATACAAAGCTAAGCACTCCCAATATGCTCTACCACTCTTCTTTCTCTTCCCATTCTGCACCATTCATTGTTACATTGGAGGAACAATTCATCCACCAAGTAAATTGTATTTTTCCTCATCATTTCCTCCACAACATCCGCTTCAGCCTTCATCACAACATACTCATCCTCCTTCACATGCCTAGATAACCAAGCAGAAACATCAGTTCGGGGCACATCCCTGTCTTCCGATGCAACCTGTAAACTGTGAATTTGAAATTTGGTACCCTTCTTTGGGTAGTTTCTCTCAAACCATTCAATAGCTGCTTTGTTTTCCTCATGCAAACCCACACCAACAAACACTCTTCGCTTATAACCATCAAGAGAATCGCCCAAGAACTCAGGCAGGTATTTGATCTTCAAGTTCTTATCTGCTTTGGCAGAACCCTGTCTTGGCGGCTCAAGGAGCGCGTCTTCAAGACCCTCTAAAGCAGTTGTTTTGTCCACTTTTGCAAACTGACAAAGCCTCCTTTTCGGTGAAGAATCTGCCAAGTTATTTTTCACACCGACTTTCCTCAACGCTACAAAAATAGAATCATATCGCCTAAGGTACACAACTCTATAATTAGACTGTTTTCTAAAACCAGCATTTGATGAGTAGTCATCAATGCTCAAAGGAAAAGCTACAATGCCATTAACTTTCAGAACAGTATCAGCAGAAACAGCATCTTCAAAGCTTGGAGAGAACACAAAATCATAAGACTCATGATGCATAACCACATCAACAACCTCACTGTTCCAATTCAACAAAGAATCACCACCTTCAAACCCATCTGGAGGGCTCATAATAAGAGCCTTATCCTCCTTTTTAAGAAGACCCTCATCACCCAAATCATGAAGAATGGAATTCAAAACGTCACCACTGATGGACACAGAAGTTGAAGCAGTAACAACAGTAGTAGCATCGTGTCCAGACAAAATTGACCCTTTCAGTAAGAACCTCAAGACAGGAAATGCAACAAGAACCAAAGACAAAAACAAAGACCGTGACACAATACGTAAAAACCTTGCATCAGGAACCTTAATCACCAAGAAAGGACCAGAACTAAAACTAACTCTTCCACCTTGCTTGCCCATTTTTGTTAAGCTAAAAAACGAAGAGGATCCAGATGTAGAAAAGAGAAGATGAAGAAACCAGTGAAAAAAGGTGGGAAATTTAGCGAGTGCAGAACCTTGAAGCGGTGTGGTTTCCACCCACAAGAGCAACACGTGTTCTCTGCTTTCTAAAAGAAAGTAGCATTAACAGTTTCATCCTCTCTACTTCCATGGATTCTCGTCCTATCAGAACAGAGTCGTTTTGATTGCTTAGCTTTACCCAGTTGTTGCTGTCATGAAAACACCACCGGAGAGAGAGATAAATTGAAGGGGGTTTACAGAGGAGAAATTGATTGATGCTCGTGGATTGATGAAAATGGAAAATTATAAAGAAATAGATAAAAATGATTGTGCTTTATTAGCTTATATACTATTTTAGTGTACTTAGCATATATATTTCCTGTTCATCCAATGGCTCTTATTTACTCTTGAGTTGTATATATATCCTTATCTCATGTACACATTTCTCAATTAATGAAACAGTATTCTTCCTCCTTTTTCTTCTCTGCACAATCTTTACATTTTGTTGCATTCTGTTATTCTGTTATTTTTCTGTTACTTTCATCTCCATCAATGGCATACATCACCATTGTTGATATGGTATCAGAGCTTATCAAGCTCTGGTAGCCATTGTCTCTTCTTCTCCTGCAGCATCGATTGAAGGTTATCTGTATTTCTTCTCTCCTTCGTATTTCTCGATTTCTGCATTCTTTTGTTCATCTTCTTGTTTCTCTTCGATCGCGATTCTTTGCGTTCTTTCTTCTGCTTCAATGGCCTACCAGAGTTACGCAGATTTCTCCGCCAATTCAGCTAATCCCTATTATTTGCATCCAAACGAAAACTCAGCGCTTGTGCTCGTGTCTCCTCCTCTTGACGTCAACAACTACCACATTTGGGCGCGTTCGATGCAGATTGCATTGATATCCAAGAACAAGGACAAGTTTATTGACGGAACCCTTCCTAAACCACTGGTATCTGATCCTCTTTACGCACCATGGATTCGGTGTAATACTATGGTCATTGCTTGGATTCAACGTTCAATTTCTGAGTCAATTGCAAAGTCAGTGCTATGGATCGATAACGCAGCTGGTGTTTAGAGAAACTTGCAAATTAGGTTCTCTCATGGCGATATTTTTCGCATTTCAGACATCCAAGAGGAATTGTACAAATTTCATCAAGGTACACTCGATGTCTCTAATTACTTTACTCAGATGAAAGTTTTGTGGGATGAACTTGAGAATTATCGCCCCATTCCTGTTTGTACTTGTGATATTCTATGCTCCTGTGGTGCTATCACGTCTGTTCAGCGATATAGGGAACAAGACTATGTTCTACGTTTCTTGAAGGGGTTGAATGACAAATTCACGCACTCAAAATCCTAGATTATGATGATGAATCCCCTTCTTAACATTGATAAGGCTTTCTCTCTTGTTATCCAACAAGAAAGAGAAATGAATAGTTCTGTTTCCAATCTGGTTTCCCCTCCTAGCACTGCTGAAGAAGTTACAGCTTTGAATGTTCAAGCTCAGAGTAACTCCAATGGTAAATCTGGCTATAGCAATTCTGTCAAAGGGAAATCCCACGGGAAATTATGGTCCTAAAGGTCATGCTAGGGTATGTACACACTGTGGTAGGACCAACCATACTGTTGAAACTTGTTTTCTCAAACATGGATTCTCACCCGGTTACAAAGGCAAAGATAAAGTTACAGGTACCACTGCTAATTCTCAACCAACTGCTATGGCCAATAATGCCTCTGAGAATCAATCCATAGGCTCCTCTACTGCACCCTCGTTTGGTCTTACTCAAGAGCAGTATAATAACATCTTGGCATTGCTACAACAGTCACAGCTTAAATCCCAAGCCAACTCCATATCCACCTCTCCTTTTGCCTTAAACTCTCACTCCAATGTCAATGGTAAGACTTCTAATCTTTGGATCCTTGATACTGGAGCCACTGACCATATTAGCTTTGATCTCTCTTTATTTCAGGACCATAAAAATATAGTTCCTATTCCTGTTAATCTGCCTAATGGTTCTCAAGTTGTTGCTTCAATAGCTGGCACTGTTGTCATCTCTCCTCTCTTGACTTTACACCATGTCTTGTACATTCTAAGTTTTCATGTTAATCTTGTATCTATTGCTAAGCTTGTTGATAGCAACAATTGTTTTGTTCAATTCCATGCTAATGCCTGTCATATAATGCAGAACCATTCCAAGGCAATGATTAGTATAACTAATTTGCAAAGGGGACTCTATACTCTTGAGACCACAAGCCACCACTCCTTTGTTCCTTCTGTTAACATTGCTTCTTGTAATACATGACATTTAAGACTTGGTCATGTACCTCATTTAGGTTTACAAGAAATTTCAAAGTTATTTCCCTTTATTACTTGTAATACTAAACTTGATCCATGTGAATCTTGTCACTTTGCTAAGCAAAGAAAGCTTCCCTTTCCCAATAGTACTTCTAATTCCTATGCTTCTTTTAATATTCTACATGCTGACATATGGGGGCCCTTCTCTACTATATCCACCTTGGGGCATAAATATTTCTTGACCTTAGTTGATGATTTCACTAGGTATACTTGGGTCATATTTCTCAAAACTAAAGACCAAACCAAAGCTAGTCTTATTCAGTTTGTAGTTTATATTGAAAATCAGTTTAAAACTTCCCTTAAGTGCCTTAGGTCTGACAATGGTACAGAGTTTCTTGCTCTCAAGATTTCTTGTTGTCTAAAGGAATCATCCATCAAAAATCATGTGTTGAAACACCCCAACAAAATGGGGTGGTTGAGAGAAAACACCAACATATATTAAATGTTGCTAGATCCCTCTACTTCCATTCTAATGTTCCTTTAACTCTATGGAATTTTTGTGTGCAACATGTCATTCATCTTATCAACAGGCTGCCCACTCCTCTCTTAAAATCAAAATCACCTTATGAGCTCTTGTACAAACAACTTCCCTCCCTTATTCACTTAAAAGTATTTGGTTGTTTATGTTTTGCTTCTACTTTACAGGCACATAGGACAAAATTTGATCCTAGAGCTCACAAGGCTATTTTTCTTGGCTTTAGAGATGGTACCAAAGGGTACATTGTTTATAATCTCCAA